GGTATTCGCATGTCTAAACACATAAACGTAGAAAAGGTACAGTAAAAATACGGTGTTAGAATCTTAGGGGATCGCCGTTGGATATGCAGTCACTTCAGTTCATGACATCCTTTCATCCATCAGCGCTCAGCCCGTGAGGCCTGTGCCTTCCTGCACCATTTAACTGATGGGAATGCATGGGCTGTAGGAGGCGAAATGTGTCACCAAAAGGACACAGCTTTCTTGGCAGAGCCGGCATCTGCACCCGGAGCCTGAAGTCTGCAGGATGTCCCATTGCCAGACGACAGAGGGGAGCTGCAGAGGCGTAACTAGACAGAGTGAGGTTCACATCCTGCTTCCCAGGAGACCCCATATGTTACATGACTTTGGGAAAGTTCATTCACCTCATTGTCCTCATCTGTGAAGTGGGCAGAGCCGAACGATGCCTGGTGTGGCTCCGATGAGATGAGGCGTGTGAGGCGCCTGGCATGGTGGCAGACATGGCAGTGCTTGCTTGGCCAGCGATTAAGGCTCGGGTGAACAGACGCCAGCCAGCTGGGCTCTCCACCCCTCACCTCTGTGGTGCTGCCTGCTCCAGGTGCCGCCATGCCGCCATTGCCAAGTACTTCGGGGATGTTCCGCCTGCCTGTGCTAAAGGCTGCGACCACTGCCAGAACCCTACGGCCGTGCGGAGGCAGCTGGAGGCCTTGGAGCGCAGCAGCACCTGGAGCAAGACGTGCATCGGGCCCTCCCAGGGGAATGGCTTTGACCCTGAGCTGTACGAGGGAGGCCGCAAGGGCTATGGGGGCTTCAGCAGGTAAGGGGCCAAGAAGCCAGGGATTCCCAGCCCACTAGAATCCTCTGCATTCCCTTGGCGACAAGGCCAGACCAGAGGTGGCAGTCCCCCCTCGAGCTGCTAGGACACTGGGGACATCGCCATCCCAGCAGCAGCACACATGGGCAGAAACAGAGTCCAGGCCAGGACCACTCACGCCTGGCCTGTCCCTAGGTATGATGAAGGTTCTGGAGGCAGCGGGGACGAGGGCAGAGATGAGGCTCACAAGCGGGAGTGGAACCTCTTCTATCAGAAGCAGATGCAGCTGCGCAAGGTGAGGGGAGGTGCTCGGTGCACCTGCTCACAGCCTCTTAGCCTGCTCTGCTGCTGGATGGGACTATCCTGCGGCAGGGCAGGACGCCTCATGGGCCCTTCATGTTGTCTTCCAGGGCAAAGACCCCAAGATAGAAGAATTCGTACCCCCAGGTCAGTACAGAAATGTTCCTGGAGGCTTGCAGGCTCTTCCCAGGGCATAGAGGGAGGATTCTCACCTGGGGTGTGAGGGACTTCAGAGAGCAGAAGGTGGAGTGGAAGGAACCCCCCCTCCCAACTCCCCACAGATGAGAACTGTCCCCTGAAAGAGGCTTCTAGCAGGAGGATCCCCAGGCTGACTGTGAAGGTAAGAGACGGGCAGCTCCTCAGCCACCCCCCAGGGCCCTCCCCCAGCCCCAGGCCATGTGACCAACTTCATTGTCCTGTGCCAGGCTCGGGAGCACTGCCTGGGGCTTCTAGAGGAGGCGCTGAGCAGTAACCGCCAGTCCACACATACCACTGATGGGTGAGTTCCACAATCACCGGACTGAGGAGCCCTCTAAGCTCTCGTTCCCTTGGAGACTACAGGACCCTGTCACCCCCAGTACCTCACCAGGGCCAGGAATGGTCACAACTTAGGTGCCGCCAGCAGCTGCTGAGGGACAGTAAGCCACAGGGTGCCCAGAGAGTCCTCTTCAGAATCTCTGTGCCCAAGGCCCTCCCCAGGCCCCGAGTCCCACAGGAGCTCGGCAGGGAGAGCCCCAGGCCTGCCTGATACCGTGTACCTGTTACCTTGCACCCCCAGAGCTGACCTCCGGGCCCAGGCTGTGGAGCTGGAACATGAGACCTTCCGGAACACCAAGGTGGCCAACCTATACAAGGCCAGCGTGCTGAAGAAGGTGGGCCTGGTGCAGGCAGACTGAGGGTCGTTGAGGGGGCACCGCCACACTCTGAGGCAGAAGCTGTCTGCCAGCCATCTGGCCACAGGCAGCCCAGAATCCACCCTCCCTAGTCCACCCCAGAGGCAGTTCATGGGGGTAGAACTCCATTCTCTGGTAGTGGGAGGTGTTTCTAGTCAACCCTGTGAGGATGTGAGGATTAAAACTTGCCCAGGGTCGGGTGCCTGCAGCCACTGGCCACAGAAACTCACTTCTAGTGCCTAGTGGAAAAGGAGGTCTGGATGGGGGCTGTCAGGGGGAACTAGCAGGTGCCACAGCCTCCCTGCCCATTCCTGCCCAGGTGGCCGAGATTCACAGAGCCTCCAAGGATGGGCAACCCTATGATGTGGGAGGCAGTGCCAAGAGCTGCAGTGCCCAGGCTGAGCCCCCAGAGCCCAACGAGTATGACATTCCACCAGCCTCCCATGTGTACTCGGTGAGCTGGGGCCCAGGGGTCCCCAGACCCGTGGCCGGGAAAGGCTCCACTTCCCCTCTGCCTTCGGGGAGTGCACCTCTTGCTGTGGCCTGGCTCCCCAGCAGGGCCCTGCCTGCCTCTTTCCTCCCATCTCCTGAGAGCCCCGCCCCAATGTAAGTGACTGGTCCAGCCAGTGGTTCCCTAGAGGGGGCCTGGTGGGCTGAACTTCCTCTCCTGTTCACATTTACAGCTCAAACCCAAGCGGGTGGGAGCTGGTTTTCCCAAAGGCTCTTGCCTGTTCCAGACAGCCACGGAACTGATGGAGACAACTCAAATCAGGGAGCAAGCCCCCCGGCTTGAGCTGGCAGGCGAGCATGAGTCCCCGAGCCCGCCCTGTGGCCTCCTGGATAAGGATAGGAGTGAGCCCCTTCCTGGGCCCAGAGGGGAGGTCCCTGGAGGCAGCGCTCACTGTGGGGGGCCCTCCCCTGAGAAGAAGGCAAAAAGTTCCTCCAGGGGCTGTTCCCTTGCCAAGGGCCGGGCTAGCAAGAAACAGCAGCTCCTAGCCGCATCGGCCCACAAGGATTCTCAGAGCATCGCCCGCTTCTGCCGAAGGGTTGAAAGCCCAGCTCTGCTGGCATCAGCCCCAGAGGCAGAAGGTGCCCACCCCTCCTGTGAGGGGGTTCAGGGATCCCCAATGGCCCCAAAGACGTGCACAGGGGAGGAAGATGGAGCCGGGGGACATTCGCCTGCCCCTCCCCAGACTGAGGAGTGCCTCAGGGAGAGGCCAAGGTAAGGGTACAGGTGGTCATAGACTCTTCTGGAATCCACATGGCAGCATCCCCTTTGCTTACTGGGCCTCTGAAGCTCAGAGCTTATCCCTAAGATGGGCTCTTCTAGGATGAAGTAGCCACTAGGACCCAGAGCTGTGATGCCTGCTCTTTCCTTCACCAGCACCTGCCCGCCCAGAGACCAGGGGAGCCCTGAAGCCCAGCCCACCCCCACAGAGGACACACGGAAGGGCAAGCGACCCCAATCCCAGCAGGTGCCTGCAGGGATGAGGTCGTTGGGGAGGACAGGAGGGCTGTGGGCAAGGCTGGGCACTGTTGTGCCCTAGTCACAGGGACCAGGGAAAATCAGTGCTGCTTTCCACACCCAGCAGCAGATAGGCTGGGCTGGAGGGAGCCAGCTGATATAGGGGCCCAGTCTTCTAGAGGAGGGGAGCAGGCCAGTGGAAGGGAGCCCAGGAGTGACCCTCTGCTGTGGCCCTTCTCAGGAGAACCCAGAGAGCCAGGCTCAGAAGAGGCTGCGCCCCTCAGCCAAGCTCTCCGTCTTAGCTGAGGGCAAGAGCGGCATCTTGGCCAGCGATCAGAGCACCATGAATCCCACGGCTCAAGACCCCTGCCAGCTCTCAGCTCCTGGCATCCCCTTGAAGGAGGCTGCAAGTGTTGTGGTCAAGTGCCTGACTCCTTTCTACAAGGAGGGCAAGTTTGCTTCCAAGGTAGGGTGAGCGGGTGGGCTCTGCCCTCTCCCAGGTCTGGGATACGTGGGTGTAGTGGGCGCGGGAGGTGGGGAGTGTGAGCCCAGAACGCAGTGGACCAGAGCAGGTTGGGCTCAGGGCCAGCCCAGCACCTGCCCTCCCAGGGACCTGCCTTGCTGTTGAGTCGTGGCTGTGGGTCCTCTGGGGGTCAGGGCTGGGTCCTGCTCTCTGCTTCTCTTCTCCCTCTCCCTTCCAGGAGTTGTTTAAAGGCTTTGCCCGCCACCTCTCACATTTGCTGGCTCAGAAGACCTCTCCTGGAAGGAGTGGTGAGTGCTGGCATTGCCAGGGCCAGGAAGCACCTGGGGTGGGGGAAGTGGTCTGCGGGGAGGAGGCTCACGCTCACCTCCTCACACCCCCAACCTGAATCTATAGTGAAAGAAGAGGCCCAGAACCTCATCAGGCTCTTCTTCCATGGCCGGGCCCGCTGTGAGAGTGAAGCTGACTGGCACGGCCTGTGTGGCCCCCAGAGATGACCAACTGCTGGCTGGGCAGGGCCCGCGTCCTCCTCCAGACTGTAGCCTGGGTCTTGCCTGCAGCTGCCAGGGCCGTCATCTTCTCTCAGTCCTTCCACTTGCCAACCATACTTGGCTTTGGTGATGGCCACAGATACCTCCTGAATCCCGATCAGAGGTCAGCCACCTTTCTTTCTGCTTGCTAAGCCGGTGGACCTTTCTCAGAGCCTCCCTGCCTCTCCTGGCCCTCATGGCTGAGTTTTCTGGGACATGTGTCCAGGGCAGAAGGCAGAGGGTGGTGGAGCTGCTGCCAGAGGAGGGGAAAGAAGAGTGGCCCCTCCACACATTTAAGTCAGGACAAGGCCCACCTATCCAAGGTATTGGGACCTACTCAGGGGAACCCCAGGTCCTCGCCCTTTTCCCCCTACCCATTAACAGTGCCAGCTTCCAGCCTTGTCCAGGTTAGAGCTGTGGCAGGGGAATGGCAGCCAGGCCCCGTTCCCTGCTTGGCTTCTGCTTAGGAAGGCCAGGCCTGACCAAGAAGTTTAGGAGAGGAATAAAGTCATTCTGCTGCGTATGCACACACAGACCTTTTTATTTCCTCAGCAGTTGTTTCTCCCAGGCCTGGGTGTGCCTGGGGCCGGGTGGGCATCTCCCTCAGACCGGGCAACCTCAGATGCCCCAGCCGAGTTCCTGCAGTCCCCTTTGGGCCCAGGCCATCCTGGAGAGGGTCTGTTTTCTTTCCCTGTTGGTGACATGATAGCAGTCCCTGCCCTCGTGGCCTGCACATGGGCCAGCTGTGCTGTGCTGTGCTGTGGCAGGTTCTGGAACAGTGATCTGATAGCATCCGAGGCAGACCATTAGGGTAAGACTTGGGCCGGGAAGGCCTCTTCCTGGTCTCCACCCCGCCTGTGGTGCTCTCAGTTGACGCTGGGCTACTCAGTGCAAGAGGCATTGCTGTCCATCAGGAAGATAGTGGTGTATAGCAGCTCCTGGGCCTGCCCAGAAAGAGAGGCCTGTTACAAGAGGGCTCCCCAACCCGCCCCTTGCCTTTGCCCTGCCCACAACACTCTGGAGCAGCAGGCATCAGCCTGGGCTCCCGCTGCACACCATGCCGGGGCAAGGCCCTCACATTCACCTTCCCAAGGTGGTCGGAGGCCTGGCCACTCACCTGCGGCAGCTCAAACCAGATGGTCTGGGGGTTGTCAGCCGAGCCATAGTTGAGTTCCAGGCCAGGGGACCCTTTCTCCTCCAGCGGGCTTAGCAGGTGGACCCGCTGAAGGCTCTTCAGGGCAATGCGGCAGCACAGGCTCTGGGGGCAGCAGAGAGCAGGGCTGGGCTCCTTTCCCGGGAAGGGTTATTGTGGGTGAGGGAAGAGGAATGGCCGAGGGTCCCCAGGCCAGTGCTGGGGCTAGAGCCCTGCCCACCTGGGAGCCGGGGTCCATGAGGATGAGATGCTGGCGGTTGAGTCCCAGTAGGGCGGATCCGGGCAGGGCCTGCATGCTCACTCGCAGCACCACGTAGACAGTGTGGCCAAAGAGAGGCAGCTGGCGCACGGCCTCTGTGGTTGGGGAGGACACAGGCAGGAATTCTGACTGTTGGGGCCCTGGAACTCACAATGCTTGGCCCCCCAGGTCAGCTGAGAGGGACAGGGCAGGTGCAGGCCCCTCCTCCCTCCTCTGCCTGCATTCCTCCCCTCTTGGCCTCCAGCCCCCACCCCAGCGGTCCCCTAGCCCCAGACCCACCAATAAAGCTGATCTGTGCTTCCCGGGGCCTATGTCCTTCCAGCCGTCTCAGCTCCTTCTCCATCAGGTTCTTGATGGAGGCCATGTTCACCTGCCAGTGCAGCTGCTTTGGCACATAAGCCAGCAGGTCCTGCCTAGGATGCACAGCTGGGGTCAGCTCGACCCCTGACCACCTGGTGCAGGGCTAGGCATACATATGTGCCAGATAACTGAACCAGTGCCTACTGTGGGCAAGACTAGGGATCCATCCATGTGAGCGAGGTGAGGGCCCTGCCCCAGAGGAGCTCGGGGTGGGTGGAGAGGACAGGTGTCCACAGGCCCTGCTGTTCCAAGCCAGTCCAGTTAGGGCCAGGAAGGGTGCTAGTCAAATGGCCTTGACCTTGGAGAAGGTGAGGGGTTAGAGGCTAGAGGTGCCCCCACTCACTCTGAGGGAGTGTTCCTGTTGGCCTTGCTGAGGTGTTGCAGGGCGGCCAGCGTGGCGAGCTGCGCGTCTGCCTGGGCACTGACTGGCAGCTTCCCCTGAAGGTAGTCCCGTAGCACCTGCATGGGGAGCATGGGGAGGAGGGCAGCGGTGGCCCAGAGCCCCCATCAGTTGGCTCTAGAGGCCCAAGCCACCATAGACCCACATGCTTGTGGGGAGAGGGGCTTGGAGGTCGCCCAGGCAGGAAGCCATGCCCCCAGACTGCAGCGGCTGGAGGCAGGCAGGCTGACCTGGCCGTAGTGGGTGGTAATGTAGGTGGAGTTGTCGAAGTGCAGTGGGATCTCCCAGCCGAGCCGCCGGCTGTGCAGGCTCACGTTCTGGTCCACCACCACATTGTTGAGGTACTCAGCGGGCCGTAGGGGCCGCACCAGCTCACCTGCAAGGGGAGCCCAGGTCCACTGCTGCTCAGACTAATACGCACCCCGCCCTGCCACCACAGCAGAAACCAAACCACCTCACCCCTGGGCAGGGGAGTGGTCCTACAGCGAGGCTCCATCCCCAAGCTCACCCTCCCCTTTGATGAGGAAGAGGGCAAATTCCTGCACTTCCTGTGGCTCCATGATACCCATTTGCCGGCACAGCTCCTCCTGCACGTCTGCTGCCACCTGGATGTGTGGACAGGCCGTGAAGAGGGGAGGGATGCTGGGGGGCCCAGAACTGACACCCAAGGTCTCCTCCCTTGGGGGCCCCTGAACTCACCGTGAAAGTCTGGATATTCGTCCTATAATCCACACCCCCCGGCAGGTGAATAAGAAGCAGGCGGGTGGTTTGTCCTTTCTGCCAAGGCAGGTTGCAGGGTCAGTCCACCAGTGGTCAGAGGTGCCTGCCCTCCTATGGGGGGACCTCCCACCCCAGGGTGTCTCACAATGCCCATTCACCATCCCCAGTACCAGGAAAGCCTGCATTTCACCCGCTGGGGGCAGCCGCCGTCGCCCCCCATATTTGACTGTGCGCTGGAGGTGCTCCTGGCTGCTCTGGGCCAGCTCTGCAGAGGAGCCAGAATCGGGTCACGAGGTAGCCAGGCCTCCCCCAGCCTGCCAAGTTCCCAGTCCTAGAAGCCCCTGTTCCTCCATCTCCCCCTCTCACAGGCACCTTGGCTGAGGCCTGAATCCTGCAGGAACTTGGTCAGGTAGGGCATCAGCTTGGTCGATGGGGAGAAGAAGCCTGTGAGAAGACTGAGAAAGCTCCAGCCTCGAATGCAGCGTTCCCTGCAGGGCAGAGAGCCCAGGCTTCAGGCTGGCCAGGCTACAGTGCCCCGCTGCCCCCAGGTGCCCACAGTGACCAGCTACCCCACCAGTCCCCACTCACGGCCGGGGGTGTCCCGTGACCTGCTTGATGACCTGGCAGTAAATCTCATCCCTGAGCTGCTCCTCCTGGCACAGCTGCGGGGACAGGAAGGGAGGTGGGGTGAGGGATGGGGGCTGTATGCCTGGGGTCTGAAGCCCTGGAGAAACCCTGCTAAGGCCATGGGCTAGGGCTAGGTCAAGATGACATCTCACTCAGCTTAGGAGCATCACCGCACTGGCTACTCAGTCACTTGCTTCCCTGTCTCCTAGACTGGAGTGCAGTGATGCCATCTTGGCTCACTGCAACCTCCACCTCCCGGGTTCAAGTGATTCTTCTGCCTCAACCTCTGGAGTACTACAGGCGCGTGCCACCAGGCCCGGCTAGTTTTTGTGTTTTTAGTAGAGACAGTGTTTCACCATGTTGGCCAGGCTGGTTTGGAACTCCCGACGTCAGGTGATCCATCTGCCTCTGCCTCCCAAAGTGCTGGGAATACAGGCGTGAGCCACCGCACCTGGCCCCTGCTTCTCTGACCTCTTAGTCATCTCTGCTGGCTCCACCTTAACTCCCTAACCTCTGAGCAGTGCCGTGCCAGAACCGCTCTCTGTCTGCCCCTCTCCTTGTGTCCTCAGCTGCTCCCATCTGATGCTCCCTGGTACCTGCCTTCAGCCTTCTTCCTTGAACCCCAGACTCCTCCACTGGGAAGTCTGGGATTTCAAGCCTTATGTGTCCAAAACAGATTCCTCCGCCAGCCGAGACCTGCTCCTTGTTGAAGACGGTTGTCCTCCTTCCCGTAGCCCACATGAGATTGGTCAGCACACCTGCTGGCTCTGAATCTTCTGCTTCTCCCCTTGCTGCTGGCCCTGGGCCCAGGGCAACACCATCCCTTACCTGGGACCACTGCGATAACTCCTTTTGCTTTTAAACTTAAACCCCCAGAATCTCAAACAGCTGAGCGACCTTGCAAAATGTAAGCCGAGCTTCCAGAAGCCTCTAGTGGTTTCCCATCTCCAAAAATCAGAGGCCAATGATGGTACAAGGCATGCGGTGGCCTGGTCTCCCCGTCCACACCCTGTTCTCATCCTCCGCTGTCCCCACCACTCACTAGGCTCAGCTGTGCTGGCCTTGCCAGTGTGTGATGGTTTCCCTCCCTGCAGGAAGGCTACTGCCAGGAAGCTTCACTGCAGCATCCCCTTCCCTGCATTCTTACTCTCCAGGGACCTCTCACTCCCAGACATGTAATGTCCTTGTCTTATCATAAGCACTGCAGAGACAGCCTGTTGGCTTCACAGCCACGTCCTCTGCACACAGTGGGTGCTCAGTAAATACTTTGGAAAGATTTGAAGGACAGTGACCAAGAGAAGGGGATCTCCTTTGGGCCCAGGCAGGAGGACAGGCACAGGCACTGGGGGCCACATCCCAGGCTTACCTTCAGCAGCTCATAGAGCAGATCCATGTCATCCTTGCCCCGGGGCTTGGACTGGTCGCCCATAAACTGCATCAGGGCTGCAGGCAGGATAAGAAACAGGTCGGGCTGGGCTGGGGCTGGCCCCGGCTCATGCTGTCGCTGTGCAGGGCTTTCATCTGCCATCTGATGCCTCACTCTCAAAATGCATGTGTGCCAGGCAGGGCAGCTGGCTGCCATTCAACTCGGGGAAACTGAGACTCATGGGCACCCAAGGCTCCACACAGCACATAGCATCCTCTGGACCCATGGACTGCCTTACAGCCCCAGACTCCACACAACCCACAACCCTTGGATGGGAGTAGAAGCGGGTGAGGGCCCTGGGGTCCAGGAGCTATCACTGAGCTTCCCAGAGTTGGCAGAGTGGGACAGAGCCAAGCAGAGCTCAAGGAGAGAAGGGGACCAGACACTCAGGTCCATAGCACTGCAGACATGGGGACCCAGGATGCCTGTGGCCACTCACCCAGGAAGCTGGCCACAGCCTGCTTGCTCATGTCATCACTGAGTATGAGGAGTGACTCCTGGATGGGAGCCTGCAGCCAAAGAGAAGAGGCTGTGGGTCTGGGGTCCTCGGGGATCAGAAGGCAGAGCCACCAGCCAGACCCCTCCCCGCCTCTCTCCCACCTTGGTGTACTGCAGCAGGCTGTCTGTGTCCTTCCTGGCAGCACCTCCACCTGTCTGGCTCAGCCTGTTGGGGGAAGGAGGAGACAGCCGTTTGTTCGGCCCTCCTGCCCTCATCCCAGCCGGTTAGGGAGAGTGCTTAGAGCACAGCCTGGTTTCTCTGAGCATGGCACTCTCTCTTGGGAAGACTGAGGACAGACAGGCACAGGGGTTGTCCTAGTGCACTCACGAGGCCTCGGACTTCCGGAAGTAACGCAGGGCGAATTCCTGCATGGTGTAGTTGCTGGAGTCGGGGGGCAGAGAGGCGTAGGCCGCTGAGGAGGGCAGGCTGGTGGCCTCTGAGTCATCACTGTGTGCCTGGCTCCAGGGGCCAGCAGGGCGCTGGGAGCACAAGAAACTTGGTGCCACCTGAGTGTCTAGTGCCCTGTCCCAGGAGTCCTGCTTCAGCCCCATCCCTCCCAGGAAAGTGAAGAGCTGTTTAGTAAGCGTTTGCTAGGGTGGTGTTGAACTAAGTACCACATGGGACACAAGAGCAGCACCCAGCCCAGCCCAGCCCAGCGCCTGCCTGCAAGGAGTGCACAGTCTTGCTGGAGAGACAAGGCAAGCCATCAGGAGTGGGCAGAGGGGCAGCCGCAGGGGGTGGGCAGCCGGGTGGGCCCAGCGCATGGCAGCCTCGGTGGGAGTCAAACTCCTTTCATTTCTCACTCTCAGGCAGGCATTGCCTCTGGCTTTCCCTCTCCCGTCTTTCTCACCTCTGAGGCCCTGTCCCACCGAGTCAACCCTAGTTCCCCGTTGGACAGCTGGCCCTTGTGCCGGCCACTCCTCTGCTCTTTGGAGAAGGAAAAGTCGGGAGCGGCAGCTGGCTGTGCTATGTCGGCAGGAAAGAGTCCGGAACGGCCCCCAGCAGAGCCAAACTGCCAGCCTGGAAGGCACCCAAGGACGTGGCTCACCCACCGGGCCCTCCGCCCTGGGCAGGCTCTGCCAAGTGGATGCCCTCCCTGTGTGAGCCCTTGCTGGCTTCTGGCAATACCTGGCTCCAGGGTAGCCACCGGCAGCAGCTTGATGAGGTCCCCACGGTGGAAGCTGAGGAGGCTGCTGTTATCAGTGATGTAGCTGCGCAGGGCGATGACATAGCCGGAGTCCTGCAGGCAAGCCGGTGAGGGTCGGGAGCAGAGAGCTTGCCTGCGCCTCCCTGTCCTGCCCGCCCACCTGTTTCCCCCCGCTGGCCTCCCCTCTTCCCCTAGCACCCCAGACTTCCAGGGATTTGGCCCAAACTCCCAGCCCCTGCCCCCACCCGACCTCCCACCCCGCGCCCCACACTTGCCTTCTTAAGTTCACTCAGGAACAGCTCAACCAGCGCCCTGATGGCCCTGGCACGGACCGTGTGCAGCACCAGCTGCTCGCTCTTCAGCGACAGCTCCAGGGTGGAGCTGCCTCGGCACTCCACACCCAGCACCTCTGCAAAGCTGTGTGGGGACTGGGCATGAGCTGGGGCCACCTTATCACCTGCCCCCACCTCGAGCCCAGGGCCCTGGGCCAGCGCACCTGTATGAGCAGAGAATCTTCAGCTGGTTGGGGTGAAGGCCGGGGCCTTGGGTCACCTTGAGCAGTCGCAGCCCGCGGTGGGACACGGCTAGCAGCTGCATGTCACTGCCATTCTCGCCCTGCCAGGAAGGTGGTGGGTTGAGGGCAGGCTCCTGGGTCCTGCTGCTGCCCACGATGCCTCGGAGCTGCCCAGGGCTGGTGGCTGGGTTTTGTCCTTCCTCTGGCACCTGCCCTATAGCTCTCCTGCTTGTGGAGGGTCTGTGCCCATGCACCTCAGGATCTAGGCTGGGGGCTTGGCATCCCAACTCCCTACCCCAGTGCCACTGACCGAGACAGGAAAGAAGCGGGAGAAGTAATTGGCCCAGTTGTCCCGAGCGGCCACCACGATTCGCTTCTTGACGCTGTCTTCAGTGGTGGTGAGGGAGTCCAGGTCCACCTCCAAGTCTCCTGTGGGCAGGAAGGACCCAGGCTGTCCTCTGCTCACACAGAGGGGACTCTAGAGTTTTTTCCCATAGCCGGTCCCTCCCTCAGGTCAGGTGCGGCCCCCAGCATTCAAGCTCCTGACTCCACGGTCCCTGGATCATACCCAGCAGGTCTTTCATTTTGTGCCGCTCATCCCGGGAAATCCGGATGCAGGACTCGGAGAAGGTGTCCCGCAGGATCTGGGGGCAGAGCTAGGTGGTCAGCACCAGGTCCCGAGGCAGAGCCCGCCCCCAGAGCAGCCATCGACACGCGTGAAGGAAAATCGGGGGAAGCCGGTGGAGCCAGGCACCCTGGCTCCTGGGGCCTGTGTGCTCAGCAGAGGGTCTAGGTGGGGCAGGGAGGGATGGAAGGCATGGGCCACCTCCATCCACATGGCTCACCTGTCCCCTCCATTGCAACTGCCAGCCCTCCCTCTTCACTCACTGCCTAGAGACCCTGTGGTAACTGCCCCTGGGTCAGCCGAGAGACACTGCCCAGAAGAAACAAGATTGTTCAAGGGCGAGGGAGGGGCCGCGGACAGGAGCTACTGTGGGATTTGGCTGGATGCAGTGGCTCATGCTTGTAATTCCAGCACTTTGGGAGGTTGAAGTGGGTGAACCACAAGATCAGGAGTTCAAAACCAGCCTGGCCAAGATGGTGAAACCCCATCTCTACTAAAAAAAACAAAAATTAGCTGGGCGTGGTGGTGGGCGCCAGTAATCCCAGCTACTCGGGAGGCTGAGGCACGGAATTCCTTGAACCAGGAGGAGGAGGTTGCAGTGAGCCAAGATCACGCCACTGCATGTGGGTAACCTCCCATATAGGCACCAAGGAAGGAAAACTAAGCAGAACCCTGGCACAAATAAAGCCTGAAGAATATCTCAGTTTATAGTGTTACTACTCAGTTATTTCCTTTTATATAATCCTTTATACAATCATATATTAGTTTATAGAATTAAGGCTTGAAGTCTCCCTTTACATAATCCTCTATATATAATCATATAATAGTTCATAGTATGAGTGCCTAAAGAGTATTTCCCTACATACACACACACACACACACACACACACACACACACACACACACACACACACGTAATAATATCATCTTAGTTCATAATCGGAGGAATGCCTAGAGCGGACACAGTGCAGAGCATGATTTAAGGGAAAACAGTTATACCAGGACAAGAATTCATGGCCCAGGTGGCAGCGTTCAGTATTGTAAAGAATACCCGCTGTGTGGCAGGCTTGGGGCAAGAGCCACTCCTCCTGATAAAGGAGTTGTAGGACCTTGCTCCAGTTCTTATGGAAGGCTGCCCTCAGAACGGCAATCCACCTTGGTGACTGTGAACTTTATCAGCTCGTTATCGTGCTGCTTGAAAAGCATCTTCCCATAGAACTCATTGGAAGCTGCCAGCAGGTGGCGGTAACCCTGACAGCTCTGTCACTACTGTGTGGCTTAAAGCATCTCCCTATGAGTCTTAGAAGTAGTTTGCCCATAGATAGAGGTATTGCACACTGCACCGTCCTCACTGCGCACGACCCACTCCTAGCCTAGGTGACCTAATGGGGGTGGACCCCTTGTTTTATTGCTCACGACCCTATCACTATCCTTAGAGATGATTTCACTCACTGCCCTGTCCCGCGCCCTAACCTATACACAATAAATACTCATGCTTCTGGGCATTCGGGGCCTTGCCTGACTCCGTTAATAGGTGGTGTGGCCCTAGAGCCCAGCTGCGTTTTCCTTGTACTTCTGTGTCCTCTTTATTTCTCAGCTCCTGTGCCTCAGCACAGCATAAGGCACACCCCACGACCCTGTGGGGCCATCAGCCCTACATCTGCACTCCAGCTTGGTGATAGAGTAAGGCTCTGTCTCAAAAAATAAAATAAAGGAAAAAAAATAACTTGGGGGAACAGAGGCTCACTCCTGGAAGCATTCAGAGGTGGCAAAGCAACAACCATTTATTAAGTACCTACTGTGTGCTATGCTATTAAGTACCTACTGTGAGCCTGTGTTATGTATTGTATATACTTTGCTTTTAACTTTTATAAAATTAGATGAATAATGGCCCCTACTTTTTTTTTTTTTTTTTGAGACAGAGTTTCGCTTTTGTTACCCAGGCTGGAGTGCAATGGCGTGATCTCGGCTCACCGCAACCTCCTCCTCCTGG